GGGCAAATTGTTTCATAGTAAACACCGACTGTTACACGCTATATTTTGATGTGAAAAAAGGGTAAATTAAGAAAAGTTGTCAGTTTGAAAAATCAGTTGAAATTACCTGGGTGCATTCGATTGTCGAAACAATCAATAATAATGATAAAGCAACAAAGATTGATTTCATTTTTTTCGGATGATTTTCGTTACAGGTAAAACAAAAAGAAGATTTTGGATGAGCGATTTTGGTTGTTTTGTATCATTTTATAGCCAAAAGAAAAAACGAGCCAGAGATATTATCGTTTGGCCACTCCAAATAAGTCAATGATAATATTGTTCCGATACTTTTCAAACAAAGATAAAGATAAACACCTGACAATCAATACGGATTAATACCTACTGGTCATTGATGACCTAATTTGATTGATTGGTTGATTAATTAGATTAACTAAATTAGTTAATCTAAATATCTATTGTCTTATTTGGCAATTTGGAATTTGTATTTTTATCGAATCAATTGGATCAAGATACAATCATACCCAAATGACAAAAATACATTTGATTATCAGATGGTGGTGATGAAATCTTTTTTTGATAAAAAAAAATTTACCCTTTATTTGTGGAACTCAAAAGACAAACAAACACAATTCAAGTTTTTTGAAAATCATAAAAATCTTTATTTTGACTTATTCATTTTGCTTGTTTTTGAATAACAAAAATTGATTTTTGTTTTGTTTTTTTTGCATTCAAAAAAAATTACTTATTTTGTTTTACAAGCCGGAATATTTTCATTGGCCAAATAATTTTTACAAATATAATCTTTTAAATTTTTATTTCTAGGATCATATGTTTTACCTTCAATCATAATCCATGGAACATATTTTCTATGTACGGCATTAGTTTTTTTACCCAATTTTAATGCTAATTGATAACCATGTTCACCTTTAGCACAGGTATCGATTTTTTGAAAATCTATTCCAACTTTTGGTGCACACTTATAGTGGTGTAATAAAGGGATTTGAATGACAAAAAAAAACCTTTTAAATAATAAAAAAAAAACTTACCTCTTCAGCCGAAATAGTTGGATCATCATAATTTTCCGATTCAAACATACATCGGGTATAATTATAAAATTTTTCAAAACCAAATAAATCCTGGGCACATGCTTGACATTGATTACCATAACATTCTAATTCACCATGTTGACATTGAATAGAATGTTGTTTTGGATGAATTCTTGCATTACCAAATGGTATTAATTCTAAATCTAAATAATTCCATAATGCTTTACGTGTTGGTACAATAACATTTAGAAATTCATATCGACATCCAAAACACAATGTTTCATAGTAAACAGATACTTTTACTTTCTGTTAAGGATGATGGTTTTTTTTTGGTCAAAAAAAATTATCCGTTTCGCAACAAAGAAACAAGAAAATCTTACTTTATTCGATTGTTCGTTGGTTAATGGTTGTCCGTTGGATGTTGTTGACAAACACGAAAACCATAGACAGAAAATTGCTGTGATGAAAATCAATTTCATTTTCGTTTTCTTTCGTTGTTGTTGTTGTTGTTGACTTTTGACAAACTAAATTCGACTAGATAGTTTCAGTAAACTGATTAAGCCTTTTTAAATATCGAAATCAATCAATCAATCAATCAAACGAAAGTTTTTTTCAATCATTAAAATAACCAATGAACATCACCCAAACAACAAAATAATTCAAGCGGGAGTCAAAATCAATCAATCATAAAAATGTTTGCTTTATTGTTTTATTTTGCTTTTTTGGAAACAAATTTTTCAAATAAAAATTTTAAAAATTGCTTTTTTTTACAACCGGGAACATTTTTATCGGCCAAATAATTTTCACAAATATATTCAGTTAAATCGGTATGAAAATCAACTGTTTTACCTTCAACCGAAATCCATGGTACATATTCAATATTGGCGGAATCGGTTTTTTCACGCATTTTCAATGCCAATTCATAACCACGATCACCTTTGGCGCAGGCGTCGATTTTTTGAAAATCCATTCCAAGTGTTTGTGCACACTAAATGTAAGTAATGGCAACGGATAAGATCATAATGCAGAAGACAAAAAAACCGCTAAGAAAACTTACTTCTTTAGCCGAAACCGATGGATTGGTAAAATGTTTTGATTGAAACATACAAATAGCATAATTATAAAGTTTTTCAAAACCATACATATCCTGTACACATGTTTGACATTGATTACCATAACATTCCAGTTCACCATGTTGACAATAAATACGATGTACTTGTGGATACATTCGTGCATTACCATATGGTATTAATTCCATATCTAAATAATCACCCAATAATTTACGAGTGGATACAACCATTCCAAGAAAATGAACACGACATGCTGGACAAATTGTTTCATAAAAAACCGATACTTTTATTTTCTATAAAAACAAGGATGATTTTTTGATTATTTCATCAGTGAAAAAATTCTTTGAACAAAATAAAATCTTACTTTGTCCGATTGTTCGGTCAATGGTTGTCCGTATGATGTTGACAACGAAAACCCCAGGCAAACGATTGTAATAAAAATCAATTTCATTTTTGTTGCGTTTTTTTTTTGTTATTGTTGCGTTTTTGGCAATAAAAAAGTCGTTAAATGCACTCTCATTCAAGCCTTATTTAAATATGTAATCATTATTGATTGTTACCCAAATCAATCAATCAAAGTATTTTTGTTAATCATTAAATTTTAATTATTTTAATCAATAAAATCAATGCAATTAAAAAAAAGGATAAAATAATAAAAGGAAAATAAAGCCAAAAAAAAATAATAATATTTCTATAAAATGATAGAAATCCCAGATTGAGATTCAAGTGATGATGATTATGATAAATGATAACCCGGACAAAGTAGACCAGGAATTAGTGATGATGATGATGATGATCAAGTGTCTTTTGGCTAATGATAGGGTTGATGATGATGATTTTGTTTTTAACTTTCATTTTTTCAAATAAGGAATACCAAGAAATTGATTAGCAATTTTAGCCGATTCACGTAAACCGGATAATAATGCACCATGTACTGTTGATGGATAATTACGTATTGTATGTTCACCAGCAAAAAATAATCTTGGTATTAATTGTTGATTATCCGATGCGGTGGCGGTGGCTAAATTATTCAGATTACTTGGATAAAATACCGGTTCAGCAAGATAATCAAAATCATCACCAGTTGCACCACGTGCTACATATGAATATGAACCTTGTGACCATGGATCAGATTTCCAACGTGTAACAAAATAATTTTTCAATAATGGTAATTGGCCAAACATTTCGGTTAAAATGGATAAACATTTTGATTTGATTTGTTCATCGGACATTTGTTCAAGATTATCGGCTGCATCACCGGCAATAAATGCAACTAAAACAGGTTGTTTACGTTGAACCGATGTGAACAGAAATAATTCACCACGATTTTTTGTCATTGACGAAACATTACCAAAAAGATGTGTTTGTAGATCCCAGAATATTTTCTCGAATATCAATACAACTTTATTTAGGTTACCAAAACCTAAACGATTAATTGCCTGACATTTATAATCAGGTAATGGTGGTATGAATTTGATTGAATTCAGGGAATTTGTCGCTTCATTTATGGAATTTTTCAATACACCTAATGGTAATGTACAAAGAACAGCATCGACCATATAGCTCGTGGTTGATTGTTGTGGTTGTGATAATGATGATTTTTTATCCAATTTTTCAATATTTTGCAACGTTTGAATTTCAACACCATTCACCGTTAATTGTATTGTTTGTACCATTTGATTTAGTTTGATTTCAAAATCCACACCACCATTAGCCAATGATTGTGCTATTTGATTTTGTCCATTTTTTGCATACATTTGTGGCCCAGCAAATGCATAATCATCATCCATATCCCAATGTTGTAACGAAAGGTTATTCAATGATGTACCGGTTGCAAATTCTAAATTTGCAAAATGCCAATCAAGTATTCTACGATCAACAGCGGATAAATATTCAATCGGTATTGATCGGGTTTTCGTTTCCAAATCTTTTAAACGTTTTTCTAAATGTTCACATTTTTGCCTAGTTACCTGATATAATTCAATTGAACGATTTAAATCATAACGATTAACACGAAATGAATATTCTTGTTTTGGATTCCTAGCGATTTTCATTTGTAATGATTCACGATGTTTATCATATAATTCTTCAATAGTTATTTCTAATTCTTTTAATGTATCTAAACTTTTCGATAAAATATCTTGGCAAAAATATATATCATTTAAATGTTTTAGATATTCTTGACGAACTTGACGTTCATGTAGTTCAATAATGATGGCTAAACCATCACCTAATGATAATGGTTGATGTTGTTCATGATCAGTATCAGTGGTCAAATTTTTTTCCTTAACCATATCCGATGTACTTTCCAGTATTGTATTGAATACATTTTCCAATACTTCATCTTTTGATTTATCAACAATTGAATTTTTCAAATATAATGGACATTTTTGATTGATTGGACGCATTTCTAAATTGATTTGTTTGGCCAGTACACGAATCGGATTACCCAATAAACCAGTAATAACAAATGCACCTACATCTGCTTTTTGATCATATGTCCATATACGACCACCAAGACGATTTCTTGCTTCAAATACCAAAACATCAAAACCAAAATATTTTAATTGACGAGCGGCAATCAAACCGGCAATACCGGCACCAATTATACCGATTTTTTTCGGTTTCATCATTATCATTGGTTTGGTTATTTGGAAAACACCAAAATTTATATAACCATAACGTTCAAGAAAATAAAAAATCCGAGATATAAAATTCAGATCCGAATTAAATGGCTGTTCCAAACGTTGATAAACATTTTCCAATAATAATTGTTGCTATTTTAAATCGAAAAAAAACAAAAAGAAAAAGTTTAAACAAAACAAGAAAAAACTTATGGAAAAATCTTACCTTTGGATTAATAAGCCAAAATTTTAAAATACTATTACGAATATGTAAGAAAATCGGTATTAAACTTGTATTATCAACAACATCTTGAAATGATTTCATTTCATCTGTTGACATTTTATCAGCCCATAATCTTGATTGAAATGCAGCACCTTCAAGCGTTGATAATTCAGCATCATGATCAATAAATTGATCTGGATCATCATCAACAATCGATTGTTGTTGTTGTTGTTGTTGTACAATTGAAAAATTCAATTGCTGTTGATGATCAGGCTGATTCTGTTGTTGTTGTTGTTGTTGCTGCGATGAATCATTGTTTAAAGCTGCTGTTGTTGCTGTTACAGGTGCCATCATCATTATAGCACGAATTGGCAAATGATGATGATGATGTGAATTGTTCGATGTGGATGACACTTGTGGATTAAATTTATCAATTTCACTGGTTGTTGTAATTAGAATCTGTGGCTGTTGTTGTTGTTGTAGTGGATTACAATGGCCAACAACATTTGTTGATGATATTTGATATGATGGTAATGTTGTTGTTGTTGTCGTCGATGTTGTTGATGTTGATGATGATAATGAAGATGGTGATGATGCGACAATTGCCAACGGAGATGATGACGATGATGATGATGATGATGAATTACTGTTCATAATAAAAAATATCATCAATTTAAAAAGTGAAATTTTAAAAATTTTTCAAAAGGAAAAGAAAGAGATAAATTATCTGATTGAAATCCGGTTAGAATTTTTTATTTTTTGGTAAAGCAAAATGGAATAAAAGAAGAAGAAATGACACATTAGATTTAACAAAAGAAAAACTCCGAAAACTAAATGGCTAATGAATTGAATGATTGAAAAATAATTACCGTAACAAAAAAAAAATATTTGTTTCGTTTTTCGTTTGACACAAATAGTGATCGATGTTATCTTTTTCTCTCGTATTCACACAGAGAATGAATCAATGAATGAATCTGATTTGACTTGAATTGAAAAAAATGGAACATACACTCACACAATGGAAAACAATGAGCCGAATATTTTTGTTTGTCAAAAGATATTCTTCTTCTTTGAATAAAACAGATGTGAATTGAACTGTTTTTTGATCCAAAATCAATAGATGGCGCCAGGTTTTTTAAGTAAAAATCAAAGAAAATTCTTTCAAAAAAACATTTCATTTTTATTAATTTTGTTTTTTCAAAATAAAAAAAATCGCATTTTATTTGGCAAAAATAAAAATAAATAAATACAGATTTATATATAGAAAAAAAATGAGAACAATATATGGAAGAACTTGGAAGTTTTTTGTTTGTTGTTGAAAAAAATCATTCAGATCTGAATTGATCGATTCTGATCATTTGACAATGATTCGATTTCATTATCATTATTGATAATGAAATTATCAAATGCCATCATTGTATCTGATGATAATGTTGGATCAAAATCCGAAAGACAATGTATATGATTAGGTACGGCAAAAGTAAATTGATAACGTTTACGACATGTGCGTACACCACAACGATATCGTTGTGTATTTTGTTGTTGTTGTTGTTGTTGATCCGATTGTTGATCGGATTGTTGTTGTTGTTGTTGAATTGGACAATAACGAACACCACAAACATACCATGGTATAAATATATTCAATGAACAATGACATGGTTGCTGTTGTTGATGACGATGATGATTATTAAACATTGATTTTATCATTAAAATTGATGATAAAAGGCTATTTGATTGATTTGTCACTTGAGATGATTCTAATTGATGACCATCATTATTATTATTATTATTGAACATCCAATTCGATATAATTTGTCCACAACGCATTCGTTCTTGATTTTGATTGGCTAGTTTCAATTTATTTTCCATCTGCTGTTCATTATTAGTTAAATTCGAATGTTTTTGTTGTTGTTGATGTTGTAATGATGATCGAAGACGAAACTTTTGATTATTTCGATTCGATTGAATTCCACCAACACCATCGTTATTGTTAGTTAATTTACTATCGTTGTTGTTGTTGTTGTTGTTAGCTTGATTTGTAGAATAATTCAACTTTTTGATTGCATTCGAAATGTTTGCAAATGTTCGATGTCCTGTGTGTTTTGGGAAAAAATGGAAACAAACAAAAAGAAAAGGAAAAATCTGTATTAGAAAAATCAATCAATAAAAAGTCATTCGTAACACACACACACACAGAAAAATATCATCTCATATCGATCGTAAATTGAATTCGAATATCAAAAAAAATAGATTTTGTCGGCCAATCAAACTTTCTATCGTTTATCGGAAAGTTTTGTTCATTTCGATTTTGATTTGTTTTCGTACACACAAAAACAGATTATAATTAAACAACTAAAACATAAAAACAATATATTCATCGATAAACAACGAAAAAAAAACAATAATAATAATTTATTCCTTTTTGAAAGAATATTAAAATAAAATAAAATTACAAACCAAAAAGTCTTGCGATTTTCTTTATTAATAACACATACACGAATTGAAATTATTCATTCAGGGTCGTTGAATAATAATAATAATAATCATAAAACTAAAACATGTTTTTTTTCGTTCTCGGTGTTTTTTGAAAAATAATACTGGTAACGACGACGACGATGATGAAAAAAATGAATGAATGAAATTCAGTGACACAAACAAACACAGAGAAATAAACAATAATTTCAAAGAATTCAATTCTTTATTTATTGATTTATATATTCTGGTTCTGTATTCTTGTTATATTCTTCACCAATTTCTACAATCATTATAATTTTATTCTTTTTCTTTTTTTTTTGTTGTTCGAAAGATTTTGAATTATTGATATATATTTTTTTTCATTGTTTGGTTGGTTGGTTGGTTGGTCAATAAATAAATACAATAACAATGTGCAAGTGACAACAAACAGAATAATGGTCAAGAATTCGAATCATTCGAAATTCGAACGTTTTCAAAAACATTCGATCGAATCATTTTCAAAACGTTCGAATTTCCTGGCGATATTCACATATATCGTATATATTTGGGATAGAATAATAAAAACTTTTGATTAAAATCTGATTCTGGAATCAAAAAAAAAAATTGTGAAATTCAAATCTGATAAGCTCGCTAGAAAGATAGATTTGACAAATATCAAGATTCACACACAAACAAACAATGACTTATTCAATTACCGAGAACCGAGAGAGAAGAAAAAAATCTGATTTTTTTTCCTGCTTGGCTAGCTGGTGTGTGTGTGTGCACCATTATTATTCCTCTGGAATTCTGTAGAGAAGAATATTCTTTTCACCATTGATGGAAGATACCAAAATGAAAATGAAAAAATATTGGTATTCAATACGTATCGATGATGATGATGATGATGAACCTTTATTTTTGCCATTATGAATTTGGTGAATGAATGAAAATCCAACCGACCAACCACCAACAGGGCAGCTGGACTATGTTTTTCATTTTTTTTTTATTCTGGAAAATCCCTTATATATTTTTTTTTGTGAGGAATTTTTCGATAATGATGATGGCTACAACGACGGCTGGTGAATGAAAATAACCAGAGATTACAATCAGTCGAAATAGTCGAAAAAAGCAGCAGCAGCCTTTTTCGAAACAAATTCGTGATCGGCAATGAAATTTATTTAAATTAGCCTTTTTTTCTCTCTCCATACAATAATAATAATTCACAATCAGCCAACCAAACCTAACTAACCATTTAGTAATGACGGTGATGAAGAAGAGAATATTCTCCAGAATATTCTGTGAATAGGAAAAGAAAAATACAATGTTTTTCAAATGTAAAGATTCTTGTTCTCCTCTGTCTGCCTATGTAGATTTTTCTTCTTTCTTCGCTTCTTCTCGGTTCTTTTCATTTACAACAATTTTCAATCAATTCATTATCATTTGAATAACAAGAATTTTTTTCTTTTCTTTTCTTTTTCTTCTTTTAATCAAATGATAACCAAAAGAAAAAATAATAATAAATAATTTGATTTAGTCGAAAGAAGGATCTGTATTCATTCATTCATAGGGAAAACCATGGATAAAACCAAAAAAAAAAACGGAAATGGATGCTAGAAACCGAGAGAATTTTCTTTTCTTTTTTTTCATTGATTCTTTAAGAATTTTCTTTCTGTTGTTTGGTTGTCTCTCTCTCCGAATTGAAGAATCTGCAATCAAAACAAATCGAAAAACAAATTCAATTTGACAGATACAGTATTCTGTGTGGATACAGAATCTAAAGAATTTCTTTGAGTGTGTGTGTGTGTAAAAACTACGTTAACCTTATCGAATCGATGCACATTTAAAAAGAATATTCTGTACACCCAAAAAAAACACTGTAAATGTTCAAATTCTCGATTTTCATTCATTCTGGATACTTTAACACCAGTAACTAATTCGCCAAGAAAAAAAATCAAATCCTACTCATTTATCTTGTCAGCTGAAGAAATACGGAGAAAGAATCAAAAGAAAAGAAAAAGAAAATCCTCATACCATCAGTCCAATGACGAAAATCATCATAACTAGCATAGATACGATAATGATGATGATGATTCTGTGATGGCCAATCTTGATTTGTAACACAATTATCTTTTATATGTGGTGATATTATCGGTATCGTTGATTTTGATTTGGATTTTCGATGCCTTTTTGTTCCAAGAATATTACCATCATCGCCATCATCATCATTACCATCGTCATTATGATCGATAAGAATCTCTAAATCCATATGATATGATTGTTGGCCACGATCTTCATCAGCATAACGTATGGCGCCCGGATTTTTCTGTATTCAAACGAGGGGGAGAGGGAAAAAACGAGAGAAAAATGAAAAGAAAAGAAATTTTTTATTTTTCATTGGAAAATAAATGAAGCGAAAAATCAAACAAAAAAAAAAGAAAAGAAAATCAATCAAATCGAATCGAAAAGTGAAAATAAATTATCCTAGAATCTTGATTGATCATCATCATTGATCATAATCAAGCAACAAAGGGTTACAGAATCTTCTCTGTTACAGAATCGAATCTCTGGAGAGGAGGGGGTAAAGAAAAAAGTCTTTGTCTTCAATTTTTCGTCCACCACCCCCTCCCTCCTTTAAAGTTTCAAATTTTTTTTTTTTATTAATCATCGATGATTGATCAATTTAAAAAACGAATATTGTTTCGGATAATATCCGGAAAAATACCCGAAATTGATTTATGAATTTCTGATGGCTATTTTATTCAAATTTCACAATGAAAAATTTTTACGGTTTTTCAAAAGATTTATTGTCTGCTTCTGCGATTCAGTTTTGTTTTGGTTGTTTCAATTGAAACAATCTTTTTTTGAATCACACAGAATATTCAGTTTAATGATAGCTACCACATATTTTTTTGGAAATCGTTCAGAGAAGGAAAAGAAAAAAAAAATTCCCGAAAACGATTACAAGAATTTCCAATGGAAACATTCTTACTTATCTCTCTCTCTCTCTCTCTCTCTCTCTCTTTCTTTGGATGATAATATCATCGATTTATCAAACACCCAAGCCAAAATGAATGAAATGAAAAGAATTTCAGTTAGCAGATAAACAGCATTGATCGATTTCTATAAACGATTTCGTTTGCGTGTGCATGGTGTGTGTGCTTGCAGGCAAGAAAATGATCAATTTAATAATGTTGAAACAAAACAAAAAAACCTAAATCCAATGGACAATCATCGATGATGATGATAATCACATTTTTTGTTTTTGTTTTCTTTCTCTTTAGATGTTTAGTTACAATCGAATCATCTAAAGATTAGATTCTAAACAATCGATTATTATTCGATCAATCGATTGTTTTTCTTTTCGTTTCCGATTGTTTGTTATTCGATTCGAATGTAGATTTAAATGATGCAAAAAAACAAGTTTTTTCAAATTTTTTTCTTCTAAAATGTCAATTATCTGTTATTCAGTTTGTTTGACAAACACTAATCACACAAAAAAAGAAAATAATCCATAATAATCTTCTATATACAGAAAGCAAAAAAAAGCTTCAATGATTTGTTGTTGTTGTTTTGGATCGCTTCAACAACAACCAGGAGTAAAGCAAGTAAAATAAAATCGCAGTAATCCAAAAATAATAAGGATAATCATCATCATCATCATCACACAGTTTTATAAAGGAAATAAACCAGGAAAATAAAAACGAAAAACAACAAAATTTGAAGTGAAAACTTTTCTTCTTTTTTTTTGCTATTTTGTTTTGTTTCATTAACCGTAAACAACAAAAAACGAAAAAACAAAAAAAAACGAAAAACAAACCAAAAATAAACAAATTCTATTGGGATTCATTCGATTCGATTCTATTTACACACAAACAAAAATAACTATGTAGAATTTGCCACCTTTTTGTGCCAAGGTTATATCATGTCATTTGTCAGTTTACACACTGACAAATGTAAAAATTGAAAAAATCAAAAAAAAAATCAAAGCGATTTTTTACATTTGAAAACACAGACTTCAATATGGCCATTCAGAATGACCATTTTGCTGTTTGTTTTACGAATGATTTTTTTTCCTGTTTTCAATTCCATCGAGAGCCAAAAGCAGAATTAATTTGTTCACACCAAAACTGTTTTCTTTTGTTTTCTTTCATTGGGGCCAATCATTGTTGCAAATTGTGTTTAAAAAACAGAAAACAGAAACAGAAAACTCTGATTGAAATTGACTAAATTGATAAAATGAAACAATTGTGTAGCAGTCAGTTGAAAAAGAAGAAAATGTGTTTTTTTTTGTTTCATTTGAAACAGCGAAACAAAAAAAAATTCTATTAACCAATGGTTGACAGCAATAGAATTCTCAAATGAGCGAAAGAATCCAGAATCCAAAAGGAGAGAGAGAATATTCTGGACAATAAAAATTGAACAATCTGGAACTAACAATGATTTTTTTCTGTTTTGTTTTTTGTTTCAATAATGATCATCATCAATGTTTTTGATGATGATGATGATGATGAAGGCAATAGTGTGTGATTCAATTTAACACTTAATTTCCCAAAAGAATTTCTTTCCTTCCAAATCATCATTCGCTTGATCATTAATGTTTCCTTGTTTTGCTTGAAACAAACAACGAAAAGGAAAAATCTATTCTGGCCAAAACAAAAAGAACGATAATGATAATGATGTGACTGACTGAGAAAAGGGTTAATGCACCAACCGAATATATTTTCTTTTTGGTTCATTTAGTTTTTGATTGTCCAGGACAAAACCAAAACAAAAAAAAAATCATCGGACCTGAAGCAAAGTGTTTCTGGATCAAGAATTTTTCCGTTGTCTGAATAAACCTTCGTTAAACAACAACGACAAAAAACAGCAAAAGTTGATCGACAAATGAAGCCAAAAACAACAAACAAACAACAAGAAAAAATGTAATTCTCAAATGAATTGACTTTATGTTCGAATGAAGAAGAAAAAATCTCAATCAAATTGAGTTATAGCTTTTTTTGTTTTGTTGTTTTCTGGTTTGATCACACAGAATTCTTAATTCTTTACGGAATACATATAAGGGAGGGAAATCTTTCCAGAAACAAAACAACAAAACAAAAAACACAGTTACTAGCAATTAACTAAATTACCCAACAAAAATCATCGATAGAGAGAAATGAGAAACCAAAAAACGAAAAAAATTCTGGCCACAAAAAAAATCATCCAAATTCAACCCCCCCCCCAACCAGAAAAAAATTCAATCATTAAAGACAAACAAAAAAAAACCAGTTGAAACGAAGCGTAAATCCATTCATTGAACAGAAAACGAAATAAAATAAATAAAAAATCACGAAAAGTAATCATTATCATCATCAGCATCAAACATTAAACATTAAACATTGTTAATGAAAATGTCCCACACAATCAACGATTTCATTTCTATTTTGACTACACGACAGAATCTTATTATCTAAGGTCGAAATAGGCGAAAAAACGTAATGAAATTTTTAACCATAAGGAGACAAAAATGATTAAAATGGAGAAGATACATTCATTCTCTGTGTGTATGTGTTTTTCAAATGTAATCATCATTATTTAAACACAACCAATCAACATAAAAGACAAACACACACAGAGACAGAATATTCTTCCTTCTGAATTGGAATATTCTTTTCTTGGTGTAAATTAAATTAACACTTTTTTTCCCGTTGTTGTTTTTTATATGTAAATATTTAAACGAAACTAAAGAAAAAAAAAAGATTAACACTTTACCACTCTCTGCACTCGTTTTTTTTTGGTTTCATTTTGAAGGAATAATTTTTTCGAAAATTTTTTGAAAACTCGAAAATTTTAAACCAGAAACGAAAAATATTTAATCAGTCACAAAATGTGTTTCATTCATTCATTCTTTTTTTCAAATGCAGAAAAAATATAAGAAAGTAACTTTAATCACTCGAGAACACAGAGAATATTCTCTTCTTCGAGAATATTCTATAAAAATGTAAATGTTGCTCCAACAAAGGAGATGAGAAAATCTCTTTTCTATTTATGAATGAGAGAGAATGAAAAAAACCTTTTTTTCTTTTTCACTTTGCTTATTTTTTGAGCAAACAAAATTAAATCATTGTCATTCGAGATGAATGAAATGAAAGAAAATTCAAAGTTTCAAAATAAAAAAACATAGAGGCTTATAAAAAAAAGAATATTCCGGGAAATATTCCCGAAATTCATTGTTGAAATTTGAGAATTCTTGAATATTGGAAAATAATCATAATAAGACTTACCTGTGAAAGTCTTGACATAAGTTGTGGTGATACAAAATCCTGTATACGACCATCATCATCATCATCATCATCGTTATCATTATAATAATCACCGCCATTATCATTATCGTTTTGATCTTTACCACCACCACCATCATCATCATCGATTCGAGAATCAACATTATTTTGATGTTGATGATCATTATCATTATCACCATCAATATCATCATCTTCACCTGCATTGTTTGATCGTTGTTGCTGATGATTTTGTTGATTATCATTATCCGATTGTATAATTAACGTTTTCTTTTTGAATTTTGTTTTGGTTGTTGTCGATAATCTTGTAACGAAACAAAATAATTGTACTTTTTGTTCTTGTAAATCTTGTTCACCTAATCTTGCTATACGAAATAATTGTATATTCTTGGTGGTTGTACAGATCATCGTCGATGGTTCGTTTTTGAAATTGTTTTTTTCGCGGGAAAAAACGGGAAAAAAAAGAAGAAAAAAATTAGAGTTAATTCAATATTGGGGTGAGTAGAGAGGGAAATAAACACAAACAATCGAAAACAATCGATTCTAAACAATCGATATATCGGAAATTCAGAAAAAAAACATTCGAAAACTCAGGTAAACAAACAAAATGTTTTTTTGTTTTGTTTTTTGCTCACCAAGATTCTGTGATTTTGTTTCTAATTTTATCTTTTGTTTTGTTTTTTTGTGAAAATCAAAAACCAAATCAAACCAAACAAACAAACAAAAAATCCATTCCTGACAACGACGTCATTGTTTGACAGAAATTTAAATCATGGAAAACAAAAACAAACCAAAACAAAACAAAAACAAACAAAAAAGCCATGAACAGATGTGATGTATCCAGACAAAGAATAATGAAAAAAAACATGGTGATGACAGGTTTGTTTGTTTGTTTGTTATCATTTCCTATATTACATTGTTGTTTTTTTGTTGTTGTCGTTTTCCCCCCGTTGATCAAACGGGGTTATTATTAGATGCAAAAATGCAAGAGAAATTTCCCTGGGAAGAATCAACTGAAAAGAGCTTAACAATTCAAACGGAAATTTGTTGAAAATTTAAATACTTGTCATTCGTATGCACCAGAATCAAAAAGAAAAAACACACCTGAAAATTCTGCATAGAAAAAAAAACACAGAATTTAATCGATTCCAGAAGCAGCATTATTCTATTCTAGCGTTTATCTTCTTGTTTGTTTGGCTTGTAAATTTCCAGATAATTTCCAGTCCGGTAATGAAAAAAAAATTTTTTTTGGAAAAAAACCGCTGCTCATACGGGTTTGTAAAGAAAATTCTGTTATCAAATGACGAACATATTCTAACACCGACAACAACAACAACAACAAAAGTTCATTGTACTTTGCAACACGAAAACGGTAAAATAACAACGATAATCCAGAAAATTATCGACTTTTTTCCTCAAAATAATATTTTCGGGAAAGATTCTCTATTGGAGAAAATTCCCGAAAAAAAAATTCAAAATTTTTTTTCAAATTTTGTCCATTTTTCCTTCTTATTCATCGAAAATTCTGGTTTGTAGTAAAATTATTCCATCATCATCATCATCATCATCATCAATGTGAAAAAACCCAGATGTTTGGTTATTTTGGGTACCAAAAAATAATCATTTCAACCACACCACCACCATTATCGTTTGATTATTTTTTTATATATTTTTTTCTGATTATAATCATTTCATTCAAACTACCAACATGAATTGCGTCATCATCATCCATAATAATCATTCATGATGATTATGTCATGATGATGACAATTCAGACAGAAAGAGGGGGAGGGGAGAGAGAGAAATAGAGGGGGAGAGAATTCAGGAATAATTTGTTTTTTGTTTTTTTGTTTTTTCGGGAATTGCAATCGTTTTGTTGTTGTTACCGAAAAACAAAACAAAAAAACGAAAATCAAAATGAAACATTCTTTGAAAAATGTTCATGAATGAATTCAATTGGAATGGAATGGAATAAAATCACAGACACACACACACACCAGAAAAAAAACAATCAAAAGGTTTCTCTCTCTCACTCTGGGTTATTATTAGCAAAATAGGAATGTCAAATTAATCAATGGATGACAAACAAACAAAAAAAAACGATTGTCAAACAAACAGAAAAGAAAGAAGAGAAAAAAAAATTAGCCAAATTTTTCCCAATCAAAACGAAGAAATTTGCCCGCAAATTTATTTCCCAAAAACTTTCTTTCTCTTTAGTTATTGTTTTGACAATTTTTTTCTTTCTCATTTTATTATCAATCGATCGATTGATCAAAATTGATTTGAAATCTTTTTTTTTTTTTTTTTTTTTTTTTTTTTTTTTTTTTT